TAAATTGCGAAAACAAACGGATCATATTTAGATTTACAATGGTACAATGTGTGTTTAGTAATATATGCAATTAACAATTTTTTTCAACCTTTTTTTGTTATTTAAATAATTTGGAACATATTCGTCATTTGATCGTACAATTTGAAAACATTCATCTAAACTAGTGATTAAAATATTCGATTCCCTCGATTTTTATACACTAGCAACCACGTGAGGCGTATTACATTTGATGTTAAACCCTAGCATGCACGAATTGTTTTGGTAAAACATATTTTAATACCAACATATTTCTCAATTTGAAACAAGATGGTGATGGATAAAATTACTTTGACGAAGTTTATAATAAATGTATGATATTGCAAATTTATGGTGTTGTTATTTTTGAATATTATACCTGATTAAAGTTTAGATTGATTATTTCATTGATGCTTTTCAGCGAATAGTTTGTTTTTAGATTATAGACATAACTGAGAAACATATGTGCTCATTTTTGAAACTTCTGCTTAAATTCATTGGACTAATTCCTTATTCTCATCTTCATAATTGATTTTGTTTAACGGCGTTAGGTCACAACAAAATTCACAATTTTGCATTAGTTTTTACTCTTTCTTCTCTTGAGAATGAATAACGTTGAATAACCTTAATAAACACCTCAGTTTTTTTTTTTTGGTCTTACCTCCTCAATCCGCTATTTTTTTTAAGTTTTCATTTGTGTATTTTCATGTAATTTGCTATTAATTTGGCTCTTTACTTATTTTTCTTGAATGCTATAATTATTTGGGACTTCATTTACTTCATTATTGACCTCCCACTTCAATTACTCCCCTTTTCATTACACCCTATTTTTACCCTTTCAGCCATCGATATGATTGATTTTGAGAGGCCGAGCATGTTGGAACTTAGACAAGAGCATCCGAATAGAGGAAACTAAATCCCACAAAATTATGCAGTCCACCAAAGTTAGAACCTCCTTTCATTTTATTTTTTCATTTTTATATACTTATTTTTTATTCTGCCTCACGATACAGTAATGATAATTGACGATGATTTTTACAAAATAGGTGAAAATTTGTGCTCTCCGTTTCTTAATGTAGTTAAATAAAGGTTAAATTTTTTTTAAAAATAATTAACTCAATCTACAATCCATGTCCTTACTCGATGACAGTCTTTTTGGAGTGTCTTTCAAGCGATCTAACGAAGAAGAGGAAGGTTCGGAAAGAGGCAAAGGCGATGAGTGACCGCGGATGAGGTAGGTGGGCGCTATCTATTGCCGTCTGTCTGAAGATTGATGTGGGTGCTCCAAAGAACTTGACCCCCTTTCACCAAACACCTGGGGTGATGCAACGGCTGCGGGGTCATCTCTGCGGGCTCGAATTGCCGGGAATCATTCAACTTGCGAATTTCACAAATGCCAAAGCAACTAATCATTCAATTCACGCTTACAATGTGTTTGTTAAAGAACGTCAAAATTTGATTTTTTTCTATGGTCTGTCGATGTTGAAGAATGATTTAGTTAAGCAATTATTATCCGTTCACCCGATCAACTCCGCAATTATTCAATACTCATCGACTACATGTATTTTTTATTGTTGTTATTTTAACTACGAAACAATATTTTTTAGCTGAAATGTCTTAAGGCAGCAGATTTTAAAAAATAATCAGATATGCAAGCAGGTCAATCTTTTCAACCTGATCACAATATTTTAATGTATTCATAAAAAGAGCTTAATTCAGCCTTTTACAATACAACACAGTTTATTGATAATTACAGTAAGAAATTTAAAATATTGATTCGTTATATTTTTTAGTAGTACTTCTACAAAAAAGCACGTTTCATTATAATTTAACAGAGTTTTCGACACTTAGTTGAACATGGTTTTAAAATATTGTAAGACACTGAAATTGCTATATGAATTAACTGCAAACTTTCCGCGCATAAACATATGTATATTCTCGGTGCCGGTGTTTAAAAAAATATATATATAAAAATAAATTTAAAAAATAATAAAAACTTGTAATTATGTCGGGTTTGAATGCAGGGCCGCTGGATTCGAACCTGGGACCTTTGTTTTACAGTGATGAGCGCCGTGTCAACGCCTAAACCGTTGAGTCCACCGACGCTCTCTCACAGCCTATTAAGAGGTAGCAACGATTTTCGAACGAAAAAATGGTTTTCTAAAATTTTTTAAAATATCCAACTACAACATTTTTTTTGGACAGAATGAGCCAGGTCTTATGAAATTAGCTTTATAAGTGGTTCAAACATTTTTATTAGTTGCAAATGGTGTTCTGGCAAGTATTGCCCAGATGCAATTCCAATTCCTTACCATCTTACGACGTTCGTTGTTATGAATATTCTGTCACAACACAACTAAAACATCTATGAGCTATTTAGTGCTGAAGAAATTGGTGTACTTAAATTAGTTGTCAACGGGAAGAATTCGAGTTCGATCAGAAAATCGCTACTCTAGAAAGATATATTTTTTACCTTTCGATTACACTTTTCTCCAAAATCATTCATTATTTTGAAACGATTCTTTTTAAAATTTGTAAACCAATTATAAAAAACAATTGCGGGGTGTCATGTTTTACGGAATGTACAAATACATATATATTGCTTTTTTAATTCAAACTTGAGTAAAATCATGCCACAATTTTAGGTTGATTCAAAAAATTAAGGACTTATTTTCAAACCCTCTAGCTATGAAGCTTTAGCTATTTCGTAGTGCATCAAGAAAAATGGAATGAAATAAACTTATTAAATAATAGGCTAAAATGATTTTGTTAAAATTGTACAGACAATTTTTTGAAATATATTAAATTTTATACCTTTATAACCAGAAGAGACATGTTCTTGTAAAAACTAAATGAGAATCAAAATGAAAAACCACCTCGTAGATCTTGAGTTAAAGAAAATATTTAAAAACAATTACTGTACTACCCCCACGTCAATATCTCACACCAACGAATACATGTGAGCAAAATAAAGACTTTCGAAAAAATACAAAGTCAATTCGACGGAGAAAAAGAAAATAAGAAGTAGGGAGAAAAGGTGAAAGATAAAAAGAAAGATTAAAATAAATGAAACAATGAACAGCGAGCATGTGATAAACGAAAGAAAAAAATTTTTGTCACGTACGACTCATTTTTTTAATTAACGAGAAAATGGGAGAGAGTCAGAAAGGGAGGGCGAGATTGATATATATATATATATATATATATATATATATATATATATATATATATAGAGAGAGAGAGAGAGAGAGAGAGAGAGAGAGATGTGAGTGTGTGTGTGTGTGTGTGTGTGTGTAAGAGAGAGATAGAGTGAAGGTGATGTCAGATGTATGTGTGAGTGAGAGAGAGAACGAGAGAGAGAGAGTGAGGGTTTTGTGTGTGTATGTGTGAGTATGAGTAATGAGGTGTAAAAATAGATTGAATATCTGTTAGACAGTCAAATAGTTACAGATCCTGTGTTCATGGTTTTAGGGTGACATTCTTCAGGAAAAGATCGGGATACTTTTTCCTTCCACTTTAACAATTTCCCAAGCAGATTATCGCTCTTCAGTATTTCAAAGATATTGGTTTCTGATACTCCCCAATACTGTTCGCACGGCAATTATATAAAATAGGTGAGAGGTGGCTGTTTATCGTGGGGAATGATGTTCACGAGAATTGAGCGGCTGTTCTCGTGAGGAGGAGCAAGTATTGTGACGCAACGCTGCATCTGCAATGCTAGAACCCGATTTAAATACTAGGTCGTCCTCTTGTTCCGCCGGTGCTGACCTTTATGCGCCCCGGGGCTCTTTGTTCTAGATCCATACCAGATCAACCGGAGGACCGTTTGACTTCGTGATTTATAGTTTCCTATGGGAAACGGCGACGGTGTATTTTCGCCATGAGGAAAAACGGGTTGATATGGAACCACTGAGTAAAAATTTTAACAAAATTAAGAAACATCGTTTTTCAAAATCTAATAATAACATTTAATCCATATATTTATTTAGTAGCCATAATTGACCGTATAAATTATTTTAATTAATGACACTTTTATTTAAGGTCTTGGTTGAAAAAGCTAGTCACGAGCGGGATTCGAACCCACGATCTTCGACTCAACACACCGCTGTTCTAACCACTTGTGCTATCATGACTTCAATCATTTAGTTTTTTCATCTAAACCAATACTTAATAAAAAGTATAATTAATTAAAATAATTAACAGGCCAACTATGGCTAAAAAACACATATTGATGATATATGAAAGATTGACAGATTAATATTTTATTACAGAAGTGTTTACTGTGCTAACAGCTCACTGTGGCCACTTTATAAAGTCGTCAAGAGTCCAATCTTGATGACCTTTCATTTGAAAATATGGCAAAAAGAGAGAAAAATCAAAAGATTATAGGTTGAGTTGAGGTGTACGAGAGGATTCATTCGCATTCACGATAGCTCAAGTGGTAATGGCAGCGGCGTATTGAGCCGAAGGTAGTTGGTTCGAATCCTGTTGTTATTAGTTTGTGATTTTCGTGTTTCACACTTGGAACATTCACTTTCGATTGTTATTCACGATGTCATAATCGGCCGACCATTATAATTTTTTTTATCGTTCATCTATTCATTTATTTACAATTATAAGGATGTTTTGTTTAATGTGTCAGATAAAATATCACATTTTTCGTTGTATGAACATGTTGTTATCTTTAACTGTACTGTTTATAAATTAAGACTCATTCATAAATCATGAGGAACAACAGAAGCTTTCATATTACACTGATTCTGACCCCAAAAAGGTCAAAAAGGAATAATGTTTCTTTCACGCTCGATTTAATGTTATATTCCTTCGTGCATTTTTACTTTTTTCCTTTGGAAAAGAGCATTTGCACGAATCGTGGTTCTTGAATTATTCTAAGGCTAATTCTAATTATTTTTATTCTAAGGCCAAAGAAAATAAGAGAAATTGGTTAACTAATTGAACTTTCTTATCACATGAAACACATTTTTATTAAAAATGAACATTTAAATTATTAGAATTTACAAATAATTAACGCGAGAATTTTGTTAATAAACGTCGTCTTGAGTAAACAGTTGTCAAGCTTTTCCCCTCGTTTGTTTACTTACTTTCCTGGAGGGAGGTACGTCGAATCAGGACGACCCGAGGGATAACCTGTGGACATAAAAAAAAATCCAAATTAATTAATTTTAAAATGTAGGAGAACGATAGAAAGGGGGAAAGAAAAGAGAGAGTGAGAGAGTGAATGAAAGACAAATACAAATGATTTTAAACATTTTAAAAATTATTAACCAGCCAAAGTTGGATTAGAAACGTTTATCACGATTTACAAAAAAACTATGCAGCGATGCCTTGATTTGGCAATTTCAATTTACTAAACAAAACAATGCACCAACCTCTTTATTACTTTATTAAGTCTAAATAAGGATTGCTCTAAATCATATTTAAAAATGATACGGAGTTTGAAAGACTTTTTTTGTGATTGATAAAAAAAAGTACTTTAATAGAAAGGTTGAGGTGGGGTCAATTAATCATCCTTTTGGAAAGGATAGTTCTATTGTACAAAATCTCTGTGAGAAAAACTAACTTCTCCAAAATGTGAGACGTAATTTTGCAGTTGTTAAGAACATTCAAAATTGATTAAAACTCAATAACAAATCAAAATGGAATAACCTGACATATATACAGATAGCAAGATAGAGTGAGTAAGTGAGTGAGAGGGTCATCTTCCTAGCATTATTAACAAATTTGTAAATTACGTTTTTTGGCCCTCAATATACCAAAAATCTTGGCTCCTTGTGAGAAAATAAACGTTTTGAGAAAATTTAGTCAACAACACAGAAAGAATATTTACCTCCACCTCCTCCTGACGGGTAGCCTCCACTTCCACTTGGTCTGCCTCCTGCTCCTGAAGAGAAACCGCCTCCACTCGGAAAACCGCCAGTGCCACTAGGTCTTCCAGAACCGTAACCGCCGGCTCCACCGGAGTTGAATCCTCCACTGCCTCCTCCAGACTGGAAGCCTCCGGCTCCACCTCCAAAGCCAGTGTTGGCTTCTCCTTCGTACTGCACGTCCGCGTTGTAGCCGTCGCTGCCGGCTGTGTAAGTGACTTTCTGTCTTCTTCCATCGGGAAGGAGGACGTTGTATTCTCCACGGACCGTGTTGCCATCGCTTTCCGCCCTGTGCGAATAGTCGTTGCCGCTTTGTGGGTCTTTTACTTCGTACGAGAAGCTAAAAGGTTCAGGCTGAAAACATAAACTCTTCTGTTGATTGTTTACATTTTTGAGAAGAGATTTACAATAGTCAGTAAAATAGTTCATTGAACTTTTCACACTGTGCCGGTAACTGCATAAAATAATAATATAAAAATAATTATTGAATCTCTTCTATAATGAAGTGGTTTATCAATGAATTTTACATATCAGAGGAATTTTACGCAATATCTGAAGAGTGATGTTAATGTTGTTGGTGAGTTATGGTAGAAAATTTATATCGAACAATGAGTACAATTAAAATAATCTCTTTTGAACACAATTATTAGAATTTCGAAACCAAATAATTCTCTAAGCAACATATATTGCACTGATATCGCTTTGATATAAGATTGTCCTTCCGATAAACATAACTTATCTTTTTCTATGTGTTGGACAGAATTTTGGATGGGGATCGTCCAGAAATTCCAGGTGAGACGGTCAGAATCGAACCCAAGTCTACGATGGTGATAGATGAGTTCATCCATGAGATGAATCAACAAGTCTCACATATTTGTTGACAGGAACTTGAAGCTTTTCATAGTTTTTTTAGTGCTTGACAAAATACGGCAAGCAAAAGTTAAAATTCGTCTTATACAAAAAAATAAGTAAATTAACTTTTTATTTGGAATATTGAAAATTTTCATTTCGAATAATCAAAGGAAATAGCCATTCTTCTATGAATGACTCCAGATGATTTATGATGTGTTTAAGTGGAGTATGTATGCTAGTTTTAAATCTCCACCTCCAAATATTTACTCACATTGCTCCAATGTATGTTGTGCTTGATAATTGTTAACAGTTGCCAAATATGGCTTTGGCTTTCTTTTAGAAAATAAAATAGCTTGGGTTTCACAAGCATACAATTACCAGCATAAAGAAAGATTAAACTGAAACATAATTATCCATAGCTCCACCTTTGCACTGTTTACACAATGGTCTGGTATTATGACATTATGTAAATAAGTAATCAGTTTCTCACATTTAATCACAAAAATCTTACAAATTTAGAATAAAAAAATTACATCACCTAATTATGTCTGTAAGTTCTGTATGCCCGATAAAACTTTCGATTTGCCCATGTACTGCCAAGACTAGTAGGTTATGCAATTCTTAATACATCAGTAATAAATGAAAGAGCTCTTAAGTAACAGCTAATTAATCACTATTACGTTTTATTCGAAGACTTTAGGAAAAAGTAATTTTTAAACATTTGGGTTAGCCAAAGTCAAAAATAAGAACATTAATGGGGGCGCCGCTAAGGTGGCCACAATTGGTCGGCTTTGTATTCATTTGTTGCATTTACCCGTTTCGTTTGACCGTCCCTTCTACTTTTATTTTGCTTTATAATCACAGTATAAGATATTTATGAGTTCAACAACAAAGACCAACACCCAGCTTCAAATCCAAGGATTCACTGGAATAAGCTTTGCTTCATTCATGATACTTTTCCTCTAAATTTATTCCTATTCATCTATTTTCCTCTCTGAAGTTCTGTCAACATGTATTCCACTTTCTAACGGTACGAGTGCTTTTCTTACTTCCTTAGGAAGTTCCTACCTCGCATGTTATTTTTTAATCCTATTAAAATATTGAGGGCTTTTGAGGTCCCCCGTTATATACCTTTTTTAAAATTATTTTCAGTGAATAAAAGAATTGTCTCCTGATCCTGATTTAAAAACTCTTATAAACGACGAGTAAGAAATAGAGAGCAAGGAAAATACATGCAAGGTTCACAAAAATTAAGAGCCCTGGGTTCAAATCTCAGCGGCCCTGAATTACTACAAATGGGCATTTTTTCAAATTCAATTATTTTATTTGTTACTTAATTTTTTTAGTAAGTTACGTAATATTTATGAGGTATAAATTCCAGTCAGTTGAGGTAAATATCACTCATTTTTACCGTATTTTTCCCGTCTGCGCCAAAGGAAAATCTGATCTTTAAAATCTGCTGACTTTAATACCTTCTTCAGACATCGTTCATTTCAGAATAATTTAAAATTTATGGTTTGTTTGCTTTGATATAAACTTAACAGCTTTGATATAACTGCCGGTTATATAAATTTTAAATTTCTTTATGATGCTTAACCGAAGCTATTTTGTACAGAAAAACGAAAAATAGAGACAGCTCACCTTTCCTCCTTCTTCACCACCGCTGCCGGATCCGCCGAAACCACCGCCTCCTGCGTTATGTCCAGCTCCTCCACTACCACCGTAACCGCTTCCACTTCCGAAGTTGCCCCCGAATCCACTTCCACCACCGCCTCCGAGGTTATTACCACCGAAGCCGTGACCTCCGCCTCCGCTCCCTCCACTTTTGGGAGGTAAGTATGAATTGACGGGCGCATCACACCGCACCCGGCTTAAACCGATTATCAAGCAGGAATACAAAAACACCTGAAACACAATTCAATTTATCAGATCTATACGCTGTGTCTATTTTCGGGCCCCTAGAGTCGCCTATATTCTTTTTCCCAGTCTGTCTTATCGAACTATTTTCAAATTTATGTTATGTTTAATCCTAGAATCATGCTTACTAACAACATTTAACTTAGTAACTATCTTCTAAACTGATGGATACAATTAAAGCTCAAATTAAACCGGAGGCGTTCGAGGGTTGTGAAAGTTTTTATAGATATATTTTTATGATAATGATATAAAATTTTAATACATTCAATAATAATAAATTCAATTGTATTCTTCGTAGCGAATTTCATTTATGGTTTTTGTCAATGTTACAAACTCAAGTCTTTGGTATTCCCATTAAATTTCGAACATTTTTTTAACTGCCTTTCATGTTGTTTTTACATTTCAGATGTTCTCAGTTTATTTCGAAAAATAATCTGAAATTTTGAGTGAGTAGTTAATATTTTTCTACGTTTTATTTCATATGGGTTTTCATATGTATCTAATTCATGTTAGGCTAATAAATAAGACCAATTTTTTTTACAAACCATGAAAACATTGACTTTTTTCTGTTCTATTTTTTAGTGTTGTGGTAATACATTAACATTTGAATCTAGATAGAATCAATGAGACAAATAGTTTTACCTTTCTGGTCGATTGTTTAAAAAAATGAATTGAATTATAAAAATGATGTAATTATGTTGATATAATTACTAAAGTAGATTAAGGATTTTTTATATTCCAGATGTTTCCAATATTTATATCAATCTTTAAACTTTAAATTGAAGTGTAAATAGTGTTTTATAATACATTGTAAATTTGTTTCAGTTGACCTTTGGACCATTTGTTTAAAGTTTATTAAAAAAAATGTTATTTATTTTAAAAATGTGGATATATTAGAAAAAATTATTTGCGATAATTGATTAATAATAACCTAAAGGTTGAATAATATAAAAAAACCTAAACAATTATTTAATAATGGAATTTTCATATCTTTATCAATGACACAACTACCAACTAGATAAAACTTGTTCATTCTAAAATCTAAACATGGACACGTCATAAATAAAAGTTAATTTGAAGGTTTAGTCTATTAGTTGATAGTTTTATTCAACAATTTCCCAGCTTAATTTCAAAAGCGTGACTTTTTAAAGTTTGATTAACAGTTGAACTAAGAACAAATTCTTGGCATAAGGTTTTATGCAGCAATACTGCAATAAAGGCTCGAAAAATCTAGTTTCATCCTACGGGTTGTTAAAAAAAAATTGAACTTGAATTATTTATTTAAAAATTGTGAGATGCGGTCTGGTGTGATGTAGGTTTCAGAAAAACATTTTCTTTATTGTGCCAACGTTTCGATCTTTATTGAGATCATCTTCAAGGCCTGGGATTTACAAACATTGTTTACACATAAGAATTACATTTTATATGTTGAAAAGTGAATTTATACAATGCAAAATATATTTTTTATATATTCAATCAAAGTATTTCTACTCACTCAAAGTGTTTGTCTTCTGTGTAATTGTGCCATTCTTGCGTGTCGTGTCGAGAGTGCCAGTGAGATTTTGCTATTTTGTGTTTATATACGTTGGATTTTGAAGGGGAGGGGAAGGAAGTCGGTATAGAAAAGACATTTTTGTATAAGGCGTCTACTTCTTTGAGGTGAAAAGAGCCGGCGGAGGGAAAAAATGTGTTGGTAATGGTTCGGTCAGATTATCCTTTCAGTATTATATAGAAAGGGATAAATAGGAAAAGGAAAGCTAAATTATTGAAAAATTAGACTATGTGAAAAATATTTGATGTGTGGAAGGTAATGTGATGATATAGGTATGTTATCTGCATTGAATTTGATTAATGATATTGGCGAAGCTGCGACTGAGTTTACATGTATCTGTTCTGTAATTGATGCTGTGTTTATCTTTGTTTATATAAACCATTTCTAAGAAATTACGTTTATGTTTGTTTTGTTCTGTGTTCAGTGGGTAGCGAGTGCTGTAGGATTTTGCTTAGGTTTTTTGCAATCATAGGTATGTTGCTTTATTCTCTTGTCCAGATATTGGGATGTACGACCGATGTAAGTTGCCGGACAGTGTAAACAGTTGATCTTGTAGATTACGTCAGATTTATTTGTTATTGGTGTGGGATCTTTAATTTTGGGAAAAAGTGTTTGAATTGTTTTATAATTTTTGAAAGCTATTTTGACGGACTATCGGACAAGAGTTATCAGGAGGGCCAGGATTAGTGATGCAGCCAAAAAAACACGTAACCCTTTTATTGGAAATATGGAAACAATCAAGAAGAAAGTGTATCCATGAATTTAACGCCTATCCCAAATAGGACAAAGTTTCACGTCATCTAATCGTATTTCCCTACAGTTAAGATAAATTCAGTATCTGGCATAACAGTGCTTTTTATATAATGCGGATAGAACAATAGTTAAATAAGTATGTAAATATTCTTATAAGTTTTGTTTAAAATATGTGCGTTTTCGATCTATCCCAAATCTTCTTTCGAAAGGAAGTGATTCCGTTTTTTTGGCAGTATTTTTTAAAACGTTCAGGTTCAAAAAGTTGCTGTCTTGACGCTCCCATAAATCATTTGTACTTGAGAAGATACATAAAATTATTTTAGTGTGTAGGTCTAATTGTAATTTGATTTTGCTGATGTTGGGCTTATTAACTGTTTATAGATTATAGGCTTAAACTAGACTAAAAAATTGTGTTTGTAGCTTTTCAATGAAAAAAAAAAGCGTTAACCTACTGTAAAAATATCCCTCGGCTAATTTTAACGTCTTTTCTGTAATATAATAAAATTTCGTATTGTTTTTTAAACAGCTCTCGTTCCCAAATATCAACTAATGCGTCGAGACAAATTATCTTTTTTTTAAAGAAAGACTTTAGAGTTTACCGGGTAAACAATTAATTTAGTCAACAATTAACTCTGTAAAGACTGCTATAAACAGATCAAATAATAAAGAGCCTGCAAGATCCCGAAATTAATAATTATTTTTTGTTTGTAGCTGCCATTGTAGTAGAACAAACGTTGACAATTTTCTTATCGTGAAGTTGGGTTACTATGCAATTTTGAAGTCATATTTAGGTTATGCATAACGATTCAAATTGTTTCCGAAAATCGATTAATACAGCATATACTTTGTATTGTATTGGTATTATAGTGGCAATTGTAATTAGTTCAATAAACAGGCAACATTACAGCTACGTCCTTTCTCATACGGTATTGATTCTCGGGTAAACTATTTTTGTGTGAGCTAAAATCTAATAAACATATTAATAATATATTATTATTTAAAAATATGGAAAAAAACACTTTGTTGATTATTTTATTAATTAGAACTATACATCTACACATTTCAACTTCACTCTAAGACCAAATTTTGTAACAATTTTGCCCGTTTTGTATAAATGCCCGTTTTATATAAATTATTTAACTATGAAAATTTGCTGGTTTGTCATGTTCTTACAAAACTTCTAGAGACACGTAAACGATTTTCTATTCAGCCCAAAATTAGGCGCTGAATTAGATAGTTAAGCAAAATGCAAAACAGTAACAGCTATTTTTATAAACATTAATTTTACGCATATTTATATTTTTACAAAACGGTAGGGATTTTTATTTGAATTTACTTCAATGGTTTATTTGAACAAAATTGCGGACATTTTTTTAAAATAAACAAGTGAATTTATGATAAGTATCATTAAGAATGGTTGATATGTTACAAAATATACGTGATATACTTTTTTCCATGTTGATATAACATGGTTGATTCAAATGGTGTACCTTTCAAGCAAATTTTGTAGCTACATAGCGTTGTTCTCTACACTGGAAATCTCGTTTTCAACCAACACGAGAAAATTACACCCACTCTGTTATACATTCGGTCACACCCTCGTCAAAGTTGTAATTTATGTATTAGGTCTTCCTCATAACTAGATTAGCAATGTAAATCGTTTTATGCACAACGGCTTCCCCTGGGATCTCTCCCCCGTCTCGCGAATCGTCCCGCCAGCTCGGTCTGTACTCACCTTCGGGATCATTGCCGTTCAATTGGTGATTAGAACTGACTCCTCTCTGGATGCCACAAACTATATATATAAAAGACTTGGGGGGTAGGATCTTATAAGAGCAAGGACGTAACCCTTCTCCGTTACCACGACCTCTCGTGACATCACGACAATTGTTGCACAACGGTGGCACTCGGATCGGTTGTATCTTCCACCCTGGAGGAACGGCACAAACTCGATCGGATTGAGTCATACTGACAGTAGCTGGGACGTCGAGCTACTTAATACGCCTTCCTCGCTAACTCCAAAAGAAGAAATATTTGTCTACCATTTTCTCCCACTTCTACCGCTAAAAATTAACATTTTGAAATTATTTATACTATATGGAAAATATTTACACAAAAATGACACATTTTCTTTTTCAATCCACTTAACTAATCATATTAAAATAATTTTGTTTTTCCTTTCCCTTTTTAACGTTGTTTTTCATTTCTATCTGCAGTCGAAAACTCATCCTTACTGCAACCTTAAAAACAAGGAATTGGCAAAAGATTTTTGTTTGGTTACTTCAATAAATACATTTTATTCCATTTGTAGTATGTCGGTTATGAAAGTAATGAGAATTGGTTACGGACATGAAATCATCGATTTAAATTAAATTGTTTTTTAGTGGTACTTGGTCGAAAAATATTAGATTATTGTCCCAGCGTTTTTTCCAATGCTAGAAGCAGAAAAGATATACTGGAAGACTCCCGTATTTTATTGTTCATTTCAAACTATATGTATTTTTATTGTTATTTTAATTACAACATACTTGTTTTAATGTAATCCAAAATTAAACAAGATCAGAATTTCATGTGTTTTAACAAAAATTATTTAATAATGATGGCGAAGATTGACGAGGTTTCAGTGTGCAGGAATGTTGCCACTGGGCAACATCTCCTACAAGAGTCTCAAATGATAAATTCAGCATATATGAACATTTTTAGTTGTAAATATCAAGTAAATGTAATAAAAAATAATGATGATTTGAAAGAAAAGAAAAAGAGATAGGTTTAAACATTAACTAACGATTGGTTGTTTCACTAAACGATTTTCTGGTGTTTTGGTAAATTTGATTTCAAACCTTATACCCGTCTTAATTAAATATTTACAACAAAACTCTTAAATTTCTTACTACGTTTAATTTGGTTTACATTACAATAGATATATTACAATTAATATAACGATAAAAATACAAAAATGATGTAAACAACATAATATGTCAGGTGTCCGGTTTTTAATCTTTGAGCGTATTTTAAATTACTTAAAAATTTGGTTTCACTATGGACCGCATTTGGTTGGTAACAAAATGAATGTTTACCTCATGATTGTATGATTGATTAGTAACTTGAAAATGATTTAGGACCAAGATTTTTCATTTCACTAACGGATTTGTGAACAACAATACAGTAATCTCTTAAACATATGCTTAAAATCTAATTATTGTAAATTTAATAATAAATTTTATGAAATAAAAGGGTTACCAATGGAGTCTCCATTGTTCCCGCTTAGTGCCTAAATATTAATGGAACATTTTGAAAAAAAATTGATATTCAAATCAAAAAACGAATTAAATTAATCTGTGCTCTTTTGGTAAAGCTATGTATACAATAATTTATCTATACGGTTGGGAACCCTAGAAGATCTAAGTGAATTCCTCCAACTAATTAATTATTTGCACCCTAATAAAAAATTTACATTAGGAAAAAATAAAGAAGGTTGTTTCAACCTTTTAGACAAAAAACTGTCCATAAAAAGCAACTTAATTGAAATAGATGTACATAGAAAGCCCACCGCAACAGAAAGCACTACACCAGCAGACTATTCTTATAAACTGAAACTCCCACCAACACCAATTAATTATAAGAGAGAATTACAAACTCTTAAAACTAAAAACAATGGGTAAAACGAATTAGTATTTATTGATAGGTTGTTAGGAAAAATTATTTTCAAAAAATTAAATAAACAATAAATGTAAAAGAAGCAACAATCAGACTGAGCTACTCCACCATAAATCAATTGTTAGGTTTTAGTTGATTCCAAATATTTGGAAACTATAAAAAAATAGGTAAAGTTTTCAAACGAGAAGGATTTAGAGTAGATTTTACTGATGAGTGCTTACATAGAAATATCGTCTCAAACTTAATTGTAACGATTGAGATAGTAAATATGTAAACAAACCGGCAGAGAAATTAAAACATTGGTTAAAGAACACTTGCCTAAATCTAACAAATTTTCTGAATTTAAGAATCATCTAATTGATATAAGGCACAACTTCAATTTAAATTCAAACACAAAACTATTATACAATTTCTTCAAAGGAAAGGAACTGGATTAGTTTGAAATAAAAAATGTATAATTAAACATGGAGTTAAATGCATAATTAATATAACAGAGTTCGATTTATCCCAAACTTTTACATGTATTTATATAATTAACATACAAATTAATCCCTAATTGAAAACTAGTTTTCTTACAGTGTGTATTAGGATAATGTTTAGCTGTGCTGTAGTCTACATTTATAAGGAATTATTTATCAGAATGGAAACTAATCCTAGAAATAGGTGTATAAATACATTTGCAGATGTATTCATTTTCTTAGACTTGACTTTTCTCTTGTTATTAATGATTTAATATTGGTTAATGTAAACGGTGATATTTTATAGAGATTTACGAATCAACAACTTTCCTGATAATAGCATTTTAAATTCTACCTCATCCCGTGATTATGAAATATATGCTCATGTCAAAAACATTAAAACTACCAATATTTATATCTTAATGAAAACATCAAACGAATGATTGTACAATTAAAATCGTTAGGGCGCCGAGAAAGTAAAATAATCTCTAAGGGTAATTAATATACAATTAACACCGAATATATTTTATCAGAAGGAATCTTTTAGGAGTAAAATTGGGTGAGGGGGCATTTCTTATTCTGTTATGTAAAATAGCAACATTTACATAATACAATATAACAATAGATATATATTTTATTTTAAAAAATTTTCATCAGTTTTATTGCAACCTTCTGACAAAGTATGTCTTTGGTTTTAAGTCGACGGATAATTATTTCATTTTTTCACTTTCTATTATAGAACTACCAACAACGTATCAATCAACGCCTCTTCATATATAAACTATAACAACAAAGATCTTAGGAGGTCATTTGTTTTTTTTCACTATTACAAATATTTCACAGTAAGTAGTAAGATCATAGTAACACATAAATGCAATTACTCCATGGTCCTCCATTACCACGTAGATAATTGAAATGAATATCGATCAGAGGACTTCGTAGACCAGAACGGTTAAGCTTTCTCTATACTACCAATTAATGTCACATATCAAAATAAAAATCTACTGGTTGTGTATAAGAAAAGTAAAAAAATTATTTATCTTGTTCCCAAAACGACCGAAACTCTAAAGATATCATCCTTTGGAAACTGGTGAATTAAACAGTTAACCGACTATAAAATTACACCTCAAACAAAATGTTAACAAGTCCATCAAAAATTCAAGCGCTAGAAGGAGGATCTATAACATTAACAGTTACGCTTTACTATAACAGATACGCTAGAACATATTAAACGTAAAACCTGATATTACGGCCAATATATGAAATTTGCTTAAATTTCATAGACACTCATAAATATGAATAACATTATTTTTGGAAAAGTATTATATCTAAACGTTAAACTTCTTGACAAATATACTTATCGTTAATGATTTGCACTTCCTTGCCATTGTTAAAATATTTTCACCATTTTCGACATGAAAAAAACAACCGGTATTACTACCAATGTATTAAATGAGCTTAATTTTCATATGTATTTACTAATGTTACAAATATTTTATTTGTTAAGCGATAAATCCTGTAAATAAAGTCCCATAAACATTTTCTCTTTCCTTGTTGCCTTAGTAAAATTGAAAAGACAATACAATGTTTGATTAAAAGAGATTCAATCAAGCAAAAAATGGTCAATTAATTTATTTTTTTACTTAGTATTATATCCTTTGTTATAAACAATTAACAGCAATATGGCTTATTGTTTTCCAAATTAATGTTTGTTTGAACGCACGATTAATTGGTATGTTTTAATATAATCCGTCAATCCTATTAGCAAACATCCCTTTGGTTTAATCCCTTCAATGAAGAGATCTTGCTGTTGCCGCCAGTTAGTTCCATAACGTTGGCTCAGTTAAGCATTTAAGCTTAAGGAAGCATGCCACTGGTAAATTTTAACTTATGGTCGCATAATTTATAACTTTTTTTCAAAATGTTTGTGGGAACTTCGAAGCGAAAATTTTTTCTAGATATTTGTATTTATATTTAAATCCTGCTTCAGTACTCGACGTATTTCAAAGTTAAGCTGAAGGAAAAAATGTTTAAGAGCTGTTAAGGAAGTTAAATGTGCAATTTTCAAGATAAACCATGAAACCCTAACGGCGATTTGCTTTTCGTTCTTTCTCATGGGACTGGGGACTTTCAATTTCGCCCCACCGCTTCCCAGACTGGATGAAGTTACCACTCAGGTCTTTTAAAACAAGTAGAACAAATCACGGTTTTACATCATGACTATTATTTTATGCTTTGTAGCATCCAATCTAAACTTAGTAAATTGACGAAAGAATTACCAAAGTCCTATTTTTAACGGTTTAGACATTTTTGTTTAATAAGATATGAGATTCATTGAACTATTGGTTTCATTAAATTATTATTAATTTTAAACATGTTTAACAAGAGTCCAAGAGGATAATGCTATAACTCGTAGCCATTTATGATGTCCGGAGGGGTTTTCTAGAATCATAAACAAGAACAGTCATCATAATGTAACACTGATAATATAATATATGTACATTGTATTTGTTTAGTACATCTACCAAAGCATAGTATACATATTACAATCTTTGTGGGCTTCTGTATGTTAATAAGTAAATAAATAAATGAAAAATATGAGAATGAAATGGCAATACAGTAACATCAACTGCCGAAAAAGTGGATTTCGCTACATATATACTTAGATCTAAGTTCTCAAAACATTAATCTAAATTACGTTGGAGACATTGTGATTAAA